ATCTATTGTTCCGTGAAAACCATAACCAATGAAAGGTAAATGTGGAACTAATTGTGTGAATGAATACAGGTTCTTCAATCGGTTTTCGGGTACGAACCATATTCCGGCTTTCAAGCGCGTGTGAATGCCAAGGTAGAAAGTGATATAAAGGAATGGAGAGAAAAGAAGCAAAAGAAGAACAAGATCACCTAAGCTTTATATAACTGAAGAACTTATAACCATTGTTGTGTGTTTTATATTAAAATCGAAATAATAATAAGACGACTATGGATTGATGGATTTATGGCTTTGTGTATAACTATGTTTCAATGTATTAAAAGTTGCAGTTTTTATCCCATAAAGATTCACACCGTCTTCTTTGCTCCTCCGTCATGTTTGTTGCCTAAGTGCCTCCAAGTTGCTTTGCTTATCCAAGTCATAATCTTTGGCAATGCCCAACAAATGTCACAATGAGAAAATCCAGAAAGTAGTCTCAATACCAATGGAAATGACTCAAAAAATACACCTCAAATCACTTGGAATTGAGTATGTTAACACCGCAACATTAACTCACAACAGATTCTATGTTAACATGAACACAAGGCATCCTTATCTTTGGAAGTAGGATTGCCAGATTATAACATAAAACGTAAGCGACAAAACGGGTTCTTGATAATCAGGACTTCCTCTATGGCTAATAGCTGGACCAACACAATAAACATCGCATCAGAAAAGGGAAAATCTGTCACAATAGTCACTCTAGGGAGGAAGAGAGCATGAGTCGATTCAGTAGAGTGAGAACCACAATTGCATGATGCCGCTTAAATGTGCATATCACAAATGTGGATGAAGCAGAAGAGAAACTCAAAGCTCAGGAGATTGATGCTTATTGTCATGTCTCAAATGCTCAACATCTCCCAAAAGCTTGCAGAATAGACAATTCAAGTAACATGTGGATTCTTCGGTTATCTACTTATCTTCATAACTTCGATTGCTGCATATCAACCACAAGGACCCACAACAATGTATGGAGTAACTATAACAACTCTTCTCAGACTAACCAAGGTTTCATAAATGGCTAAACCCTGTTATACAATTTCCTTTTTACCATCAAAGCTAAAAAGCAATATTTTCAGAGATTGATCAAACGCCTTTCTATATAATTTTTGTTTGTAGTTTGGCTTCTTTTTTAATAAATAGAGCATATCATTTCAGGGATTAACAACCCAAACAACTTCTAAG